AAAAATTAAGAAAAAACGCTGAGGAAATATAATGTTTGGTTTGCTAGCGAGCGAGAACTGATTTGAGAATAATTGCACATGCGCGTGAATTGAATGAACTATGACCCGTACAATCTCGATTTGCATATTGTCAATCAAGGTCTTGTTATTTGGTTACTCATGCAAATTAGGCAATTGGACATAAACATTGCCACGTGTGAGTGTTTTTTATTTTTAACCAGAAAATAAACAGCAATTTTAACGGTGTTCCAATAAGAATTCATTGGTCAAATTTTCACAGAATGTTCTTTAGATAAATATCTATATAAAAAACGAAAAAAACTATTTTTGATTGAAATTCACAAATAAAGTGCATCTCTAGATAATCAGATAATCTAGGTGATAGATAGCACTGTAACGGCCAAGGCATAAAAAAAACATTTTGTTTCCGGGTAGATTGTACCCCTCCCCCCAAATAAAGGGTGCATTAATTTTTTATTATAACTGGTTCTGTGCACAATTTCTGTGCCAGAAAATTGGCAAAATAAAATAACATCAAGTAGATAAATATTACTGTAATGGCTGCTAACAGCTAAATAAATGGTTTCTATACATTGGCTGGCAAACAATAACTGTACTTAATGATGTACATGTATTACATAGTTCTGAAAAGTGTGGCGATATAGATTCAACAACCCAAAAGAACTATCAAAAACAGTGCTAAAATTGACCAGTGCTGCAAATCTTTGGAAAATGCATTGAAATTCTTAAAACAAAAGACAGTGATACTTTAAAAGAAATTAGTAAATTTATTTTTTCTTTGTTTCAACTCAAGAATAAATTAAAACATGTACGTAAAAAAAATGGTGATTACAGCCAGGCAGCATGTTTAAACTTTAGGCAAATGTACTTAGGTCATGTTAAATTGCAAACTGTTTTATTTTAATATTGGATACTACTTCATTGTACACCAGAACCAAAATTCTAATATTGATTCAAGGTCAATTAATAGTTACACAATATTAATAAGACACAAGACTATACGAAGCATTGAATACAAGAATCCAAACTCACAAGTGTACAAAGTGATTTGTCAATTTGAATATTCCATTTAAGGAAGTGTCTTCATTTAACTTTTTCACCTATTTTTTTCCCTTTTTTTCATCACAAATTCACAAAAATAGTCTTGTTTATAGTCTGCACTTTCCTTCAGAAGATTGGAACAAAAATGGTCAAATTTTGTTGAGTAAAAACTGAAAATTTACTCAAATTCTGTCTGTCTGTCTGTTGGCTTAAAAATTAATGTTCATTTCCAAAAATACTGTAGAATACAAGAAAAAAAGTGCAGAAAAATTTGGACAAGAATGTCTGATGGTGAAAAGACTAAATAGGCATCTATTGATGTGGAAATTCATTGAGAAAACACTCGACTTACAGTAAATGAAAAATAAATTGTGTCAAATCCACAACAAATATAAGGATTTGTGAATGAGAAAATCATGAGAATATAAAGTTCATCTGGTTTTGATACATTCCGTGTTATGATTTACTGAAAGCAATTGCTAATTATGAAAACATTGTAATTCAAACATTTTAATGAAATGAAATTGGCATATTGGTTTTATACAATTTTTTCTTTTCACTCAGTTTTACTAAAGTAGTATTTTCTTCGATCACTGATAGCATAGTGGTTGTCGCACAAGACTTATGATTGGTAGACCCAAGTTCAAATCCTACCTTAGGCTGAACATCAAAAAGGTCGACCCTTACCCTGGGTGAGTGTGTCACAGACTTAATGGGAAGGCCAATTCCACTTAACTGGCCAAGATTCATTAACTAACGAATGTGACTTTGGGAGAACCTTGGTTAAGGTCCGCAGGCTTGTGTTCGACCGAGCCTGGTTGATGCCAGGATAGCGCATTAAATTGCCATTTGGTAGGAAGATGGCCGTACAGCCCTGTCACGTACATGTAGTCCCAAACATGAATACGACTTCTGTGGCAAAATGCACTACATGTCAGCACTAGCACTTGCAATTGCAATTTGCACATTCAAAAAAAAAAAGTCAGGAGAAACCACAGTGTATTATTAAAGTAATTTTTTTTTCCAGGCATGTTGTGAGTGTGTTATGAACACCATGAATTACAACAAAGTACAAAGTTAGTTTTGCATGATAGTCAAAATGTAGGTGTGACATACAAAATAAAGTTGATTTCATTGGCTTTAATTTTATTTCTCAACAATTTCAAATTTTAGGAGCAAATCCATTGCTTAGTCCAAAAACAAGTACCTATACAAAGTTGGAGTGCAATTGTTTTCAATAAACTAACCCTAAACAAACTTCCAAGTGACTCAACTCTTCTATTTTTTTTAAATTTAATATGAATATGTATATTTTGTATTAATAGTAAATACATTTTTTTTTACATTTAATTTATAATATTATTCTCTACTTTAATAAAGAATACCTGATATAATTTATGCCAACATCCCTTAATGGCAGACACAAGAGGAAGTGTACATCTACTAGTAACAGTTAGCATTGTTATCAAAAACTGCAACGATTCAATGGACTGGGGTTCCTCAGTTTTCACTCCATCCCAAACACCCTAGGTTCCTAAGTTTTTACTCCATCCCAAACACCCTAGGTTCCTATATTTTTACTCTATCCCAAACACCCAAGTTACCTAGTTTTTACCTACAAGTTTCCTATAAGCAGCAGAAAAAATGCCAGTAATTTGTCTGTGAAGCATACAATGTAAAACATAAAATATTTTTTTTTCTAAAATATATTCTCAGAGTCAGTCACCAATACGCACGCACGCACTCACTTCATTTGAGTGCCAGATATACCTTTCCCACCAAAAATTCAGTACAAATATTTTCATATTTTGTAAAATTACTAAATTTCATCATCATTTTGGACCATACAGACAGTTTCAGATATTGCTTTTAGTTTTGAATTAAAAAGTTTGTTGATTGCTATCAACATTTCATTTGGCGAAGAGCAGCCTGTACAAAATCATTTTGTGTATGATGACAAAAGTTGACAATGGCATTCAAAGAGTTAAAGTAAAAATTACAGGATATATCCAATACTAATGAAATCTGATGTTGGCACTTGTCATTTGTAATGTACAGTAACTACCGGTACTTCATGGTCGTCTGTATACATGCCTCTAATTACATCTGACCTGCTCAATATTTACCTATGCAAATTATGTTCAGGTCTTATAAGATCATAAACCAATCAGAACTTTTGATTGTGACATTTTGGATTTAGTAAGACATACTGCAATTGGCTGACAAAACTGAGAGATGAACTGCCGAAGTAATTGGTGTGATGTAGTTAGATGTGTGTACACTGATCCACAATCTGCTGCATATTAAAAATGACCAAAGTTTCTACACAGACGTAATTTTTTCAGATTGTTCAAATAATGTTTCTATTTATAAACAACTTTATACACTAATAGACCATTTTTTGTTTATTTCATTAAGAACCTACGTTATGTATGAAATAAAAACAGGACAAACAAAGGTCATAGCATGGCAGGGAGTCAAAATAATGTGTGGGATTTGACAAAAGTAAAAGTATTTTGGGGGTACTTACACGCTCAATAAAATATTATACACATCTAATGACGATAAAGGTATATGATATTTGAAATACTGTAAAATACTTTATTTTAAGCTGGAATTAATTGTCGCTGAAAAGACTTTTTGGGTGTTTTTTAGGGAGTTTATTTTTCACTGATTTTGACAAGTTGAATGTAAAATATAGTAAAAAAGGTATATTCGCTGGATTTTATTTTCACTGATTCATTGCTTCAGCGAAAATAGCAAAAATTAATTCCAAGTGAAAACAAAGTATTTTACAGTATTAAGATTTCGAAATTGAACTAAAAAAAAGACACAAATCATTCAATTTCTGCTGTAGATGTTCAGTCCAAACTTTCACACACTATGTGAGATCTCACCGATTTGTCTCAAAAATTCACCAATTGTTTCCTCTTCTCACCAATGCTTGTATATGAACTTGAGAGACTTATACACTGTGTACGCTAACATTAAACTGTACATAAGATAATCTTTTTGCACTCTCTGTGAGTTGTCAGTTTCTAGTATCAGTACTCGTCTTGAAAGCTTTGCCACCTGGTATCGCAGGGTCTGTAAATCTTCCCCAACAGGTTCTTCAATTATCTCGTCGTCTTCGGCGTCCATGGACAGATACTGTTGATCATCAGCGATGTAATTGTCAGCTAATCTGTTTCAAAATAAGAGTAAAGTTAATGGTTAATGTTTTGAACATAGACAATGGGAAATTATGTCCATTTGTCTGAAAATTAATTAAAAATACAAACAAGACATGAATGTCACAGGTTCTGTTATTTAATTATAAAATACTCATGTTAAAATAATAACATGGAACATCTGCAATTGAATTAATATGTACTCTATGTGGGTACAACTCATCATAAAGTGATTTCCCTTAATCTGATAACTGAAAACTTTCATTGACCCGGATCCAAAATCTCAGAGCACACAAGTGCAACCAAACTATGTCTCATACATGCTCAAGAAACTGCATTCATAAATCTGAGTAAACCTTGATGTACCTTTAATAACAACTTAACTTCTTTGTTAATTCAGGTCTTTGTGTAATACCAGGACCTGGGTTTGTTTCATTATCACTGTTTCACTATAATTCCCATCAAAATGTAGCCCCGACTCCCTCTACATTTTCTACTGAGATTGGTAATGGTACGACCCATCTGTCACTGATTCAGGTCATGACATCACTAAAAACCCTAGCATTACAATCTAAGCCAATTATTTATTGTGAGCATGCTCAGTTGTTCTCTCAGTGCAACCTGCTAAGTTTCATCGATATCGGCTGCAGAATTTCTGAGAAAAATGTTAGAGACGTCACAGACAGAAAATTGAAATAAGAATAAAAGAAAAGAATTAATCAAAGAAAGCTTAGAAAGAACTCCCATGTGCTGAGAGTATTGGAAACACATTAAATATAATTCGAAATTACTTAGCTGAAAACTAATTATGCAAATCAGAAAATTAATATGACCAGATTTGAGTGTAAAACTAATGAGGTCTGCGCAATGTAACAGAAAATCTATGTCTCCAAGTTTAATTGAAATGTGATTAG